CTGTGCCATCCTTACAACTGCTGTTACACTAAAAAAAGGTCTTCCTCTTTTTTGCTGACCTTCCACTTCACTAAACATGATATAACTTCTCCAGGGACTGGTCCCTCCTGATAATATGTCTAGAGTATGAAAGACAAAGTATGTCTATCCTGGCTTCCAAGGAGCATTCTTGCTATATTTTCTACAAAGACTGCTTTATTCTTTTAGCAGTCCATGATACTTTCAATATTCTTCTCCAACATCATAATTCAAATGCATCAATTCTTCTGTGGTCTTCCTTACTCACTGTCCAAATTTCACATACATATGCTGCTATTGTTGTTATGTGCTGTGGAGTCGGTTCTGACTCATAGTGACTCTGTACAGGGTTTCCAAAGCTGTAACTCTTTACAGGAACAGAAAGCCTCATCTTTCTCCCGCAGAACAGCTAGTAACATACATATGAGGCTACTGAAAATACCATGGCTTGGAGATGAAGGAATAGAGAAGTGGAATGAATGTTTACTAGGCGAGTGAGCTGAGCAGACACAGCAAAATACAGGGAGCTTGGTGACATGAGCCAACAAGAAGACAGGCACAGAGATCTTGAGCTTCGGTGAATGGCTTCAGAGACAAGAAAAGTTATTGGCATTGCAGAAACGTGTCTGGGACTTGTAAGGACAAAGGTCTGTATCTTTCTTTTTAGTTTCTTTCTTCTACTTTCCTCTTTTATTAGTTTATGTTCCGCTCCCTCTTTGATTTTTGTATTCTTTTGCTAGCTTTTTTTCTTTTTCTTTACTATTTTCTTTTTTGTTATTGTTGATTGCTGGTTTGTGGTTGTTTTCCTTCTCTCTCTTGTGTGTGTGTGTTCTATCTTCTTGCCTCACCTGACAGGAGACAACAACTACAGCCATGTAGCTGAGCAACAACCATGCCATTTACAGTCCCACCCATTGGCAAGAGCCAATATCAGCTGCTATACACTTGAGCAAAGACAACCAACATCAGCTAAATCTATTCTAAACTGAAACCCACGAACAGTGAACAGAGAACAGTACACAAGCTCATCTCCTGATCACATCTTCCAGGAGGCAGTTGGTGAGTGCCTAAGAATACAACAACATAAAACCACCAACTTAATACAAATACAACTCACAATGTCTTGAAAGTAGCACACAATTACTGTTCACACAAAGAAACAAGAGAGAGAGGCTCAAACAAGTAACTGAGAGGCAGAGCTAGAAAACATTTTTAAGGAAACAAGGGCACTGGAACAACCTGAAAAA